TTCTCTGTGAAATTGTTCCCTAACTCAGTTATCACCACCATCATTATCCTAGGCCTCTTGTTTAGAAGTATAGACGTTATCTTCAGTCAATCTTGATTTTGTATGACTCCAGGAATTAGAAGTATCTAAAATGAGTGGTATCTGAAGGGAGATCAGGCTATTAAGTGACTAAAATCCAGGTCTTCTGGCTGCTAAGCCATATTCTTTACATTATGCTGTACTAGCTCTTCCGCAATAACTTAAATCTAAGGCTTTTAAAACTAGCAGAGTCAGTATCTCATTTAATCTTGAGATGTAAGCTGAGGCAGACGTAATTATTTCTAACACACAGGACACTGGGTATCTAAGGGACAAAATTCTTTGTTCAAAGATGTTATATCTAATGCCTAGTAATATGTATAAGACATAACTATTGGGAAAATTATTGTGTATAACTGAAATATACTACATTTAGAGTAATGATATCTTTAAATGAGTGTAGTGTATCTGTCAGGTTTGTATTCTGGGAATGGTAAATACTAGACATCTGTACTGCCCTCTCCTTTCCCACTGTTATCTTTTAGCACATTCTTTCCTACTGGAGCTGAACTCAGCCTCAGAGTCTTTCTGAACTTACTGCTTCAGAGAGCCCCTATCAGTTGACTGGCACAGTACTCCTGTTTTGACTCTCCTCACTTAGGTCCACATTGTATAACATTTGTTTCTGATGTTTTTCTTTGCTATTTGTTATTAATGGTTCTCTATTATATCATGTTTGTATACACTGTCTTCTGCATGTACAGATTCCTGCTCTTTGCTTTTTATTTATTTCAGAGCCTCAACTGTAGTAATTCATACACAGTGAATCCTCAAAGTATTCTGAATATACCTGAGACAAACGGATGGTATTTAGGGATAAATCTAAAATTAAAAAAACAAAAACTGCCGTTATTTCCCAATATAATTTAGATCAAGGGTCAGTAGACATTCACTGTAAAAAGCCAGACAATAAATACAATAAGCTTTGCTAACCAGATGATCTGTGACGCACCCACTCAACCCCGCCATGACAGTGTGATAGTACCCACAGAAAATATGTAAACAGGTGAGTATGCCTGCGTTTCAATGAAACTATTTATGGACACTGAAATAGAATTTTCATGTCACCAAATATTATTCCTCTTTTGATTTTTTTCTTCCAACAATTAAAAATATATAAAAACCATTGTTAGCTTGCAGGCCATAGAAAATTAGGAGGCAGGCTAAATTTGGTCCACAGCCCAGTTTACCAATCCCTGGCCTAGATCTAGAATTATCAAAGTGAGAGCTTCTGGTAGTCTGCAAGATCTTTTCAGCAAGTTAAATTACCAATGTGTGAGACAAGATTTTCTTTGTGTACATCAACAAAATAGATACGAATATGAGGATCTAGCTGTCTTCTATTAAACAAGCCAGAAATTGAAGAGACTGGCAAAAAATGTAAACAATGCTACTCTTCTCAATAATTTTTCTTGTATGTTTGTAAAACATAAAGTGGTATTTCATATCAGATACGGTTTACGTTAACATGCAATAATACACTTGTTATTTTTAATATGTTAATACTTTAAAAATTCTTCAGTTTTGATTTCTAATATGATAAATGACAGCTGATACAACCAGTAAACAAAAGCTCTCTGGGGGCTCTCAGTAAATTTTAAGAACATGACCACACATGGTGGCTCACACCTGTAATCCCAGCACTTTGGGAGGCCAAGGCAGGGGGATAACCTGAGGTCAGGAGTTCAAGACCAGCTTGGCCAACATGGTGAAACCCCGTATCTACTAAAAATACAAAAATTAGCTGGGTGTGGGGCGTGCACCTGCAATCCCAGCTACTTGGGAGACTGAGGCAGGATAACTGCTTGAACCTGGGAGGTGAAGGTTGCAGTGAGCCAGGATTGCACCACCGCACTCCGGCTTGGGCAACAGGGCAGGACTCTGTCTCAAAAAAAACAAAAAAACAATTTAAGAATGTAAAGGGAGCATAAGACCAAAAAGCGTGAGAACCAGCTGCTGAGCCACAGCGAGCTTAACTTACAGCTGGTGCACTGCCAGCAGAGTGTACCTAGGCCTGCCCATGAGACAAAGCCACCTGGGAGACAACTTCATTGCATCTCCATCTTGGCCTTTCCCTACCTAAAAGATTCCTGGCATTTCTCTGATTAGATCCTGATTGGTCAAATGTAATCCCATGCATTTATGTTCTTACATAATAAAATTACTGAAAATATGGTGGTTATTTTCATAAAAGAACCCTTTGGATCTATGTAGACCATAAAAGCACTTTCGCCTTTACTCTGTCAAAACAGGCAATTATAAGCAAGTCTCTCTCCCTGACCTTATTTTCTAATCTTTAAAAACAAAAAAATTATTATTGCTATTCCCTGCCGCCAGCACATATCTCAAAATAGATTCATTAGCTCATTTATATATCATTGTGTACCTTTGACCTGGCTACACAAATATTGTGGGAGCCTAGTCCTAATTAGAACCCACACAGCAGTGTTAAATCTAAAGAAAGAAAATCCACTGGACATGATACAAGTTCAATTAACAGTCAATTAATGTTGCACTAAAATTACATTTTACAAGTAAGGCATACAGATCTTATAGAGTATTTTTAAAAGTATTAATATTTTGCTTGTTCTGTCATTTGAAATCTATAAACTTTTTAAAATAAAATTCTAGGGGAAATTTTTATTTTAATTATTTTAGGGGAAAGTTATTTTAATTCCAGTGTTACAATATACAGGGAAACCTTATATAAGGAAGTATTTCTTTCAATATAAATACACACAAGGTTTGACTGTCTATACAAATAATGTGTACTGGTGGCCTGAGGAAACATTTTCTTCCCCCCACCCCCATTTTAGAGATATTTAAGAAATAATAGCTACGATTTCAACATGTATCATTTTCTTGAACTAAATATTTTTAATTAGAAAGTGTTTCTCCTTGAGTATATGATTCTAAAATTCTTCATCGTTTACCTTATGGAATAATAACTTTGTGAACAAGAACAAAAGGAGAAAATTAATATTTTTGAATATTTGTCCTTCAACCAGTATTGCAAAATTTCTTAAAAATCAGAAATCATGATTGGATGCTAAGTCTGCCACAATTTATGAATACTGGCTCCAAACAGTCAAATAAAATACATTTGGCTACTTAGACCAACACCAAAACTGAAATTCACTTTGAAAAATTACACATATTTATTTGACAGAAAACTTTTGCATTTAATAAATAAATATTAATAACTGATACATACATTAGTTCAAAATATTTTCACTAAGCACCATATAGAATAGTTCCTAGCCCTTTCACTGAGAACGCCTTTGAAAAAAATGCCTAAACAATCAGTTTACTTAGGTTTTTAATCAAGAAATCTAAAACTGCCAATCAGAGTTTCTAATTACCATGAGATGACCAGGGAAACAACCTGGAGGTCATATAATGTGAGCTTTTAACAGCTTTGTTTAACCTGTACATCCCAACCGAGGGAATTTGTTGGCCTCAGGCTGGTAATCGCAGGTCCATGTGCCAGATACTACACACACACACACACACACACACACACACACACACACACACGTCACTGAGTAATAAGTATCACAGATAAGAGATAAAGATTATATGGCCCATGTATATTTAAGGGGAATAATGTCCAGTTCTCATGGCTATACAATTAATTGACTAGCATCTTTAAGATCAGAAAGCCACCGGCAAATTATTATCTCTTTGGGGTATTAGTAATCATTTCAGGGAATAGTGAAAAGTACATTAGAAGGATGTTGGGAGCTGTGATATTCAAAGAAGAACAAAAAATAGACTTAAAATTTGGGGAAAATGCTTACTGGTTAAATCTACAGTAAAAACAAAAGTCTCATCATGATTGCAAAACATTCCAAATTGTGAAACTTATTTGTACAATAGACAAAAGTGAAGCAGCTTCCTCAGTCATGTTTTGAGATCTCAGCATCAATTTCAAGAAAATGCTTATATTTAAAAGAAAGCCTATTTCAAAATGCGAATCCCTACATTAAGCACATATAAGGACATGAAGTAAATTTATGTATCCTATCATACAACATTCCTGCTCAGTGTGTAAACGAAGGTGATGGGAGACTAAAGTTAGAAAAGGGAAAAAGCTGTTTGCTTCACTACTCAATTCTTTAAGAAATACAAGAGTCTCAATCCTAAAAGAAGCAAAGACTGTAGGACTAAATAGCTACTATGTAATGTGAAAAAATCAATTTACATAAAATTGGTATGTGGACCACATGGAAGAACGAGAAAAGAAAGGGCATATGTGCTTTACTGTGCAGAAAAGATAACATTATTTCTGGTAAATACTGTTTAAAAAATTTTTTGTATACCAAAAAATTAAATTCCTGCTCCAATTTTTAAGTCAAAATTATGTCCACTAGAAAACCTGAATGTAATAGTTTATTAAGAAGGCAACAAATTTTAAAATCACATGGAATTTACACTACTACAATGCTAAAATGGATCAAGGAGATTTTGGTCCATAGTTGAGAAGACAAAAGTGGTCTTCTGAGAAAACACAGCTAATATTACTCCAAAGCAGCACAACCAGAATCAAAGTATGGTTATTTTAAAGCTTGGCACAGCAGTTTAAAACTTGAAAACTACCACTGTTATTTAAATAAAATAGTTTTCAGTTTTATTTTGTTTTCCCAATTCCCCTCCCCAGCAATGGGACAAATACATAAACCCAGCTGCTGGGAAATTTTCAAGAGCACTTTGTGGAAACTGTTGGCTTTCAGAAATGGACAGGCTGTTTTGAACCAAAAATTAGACGAAATACAGAATTACAACAACACTAAAAAGCAACTTAGAAAGAGGATCAAGCCAAGCAGATAAGCAAACTTTATAAAATCAGTTTTCTGGAGCTGTTCATCAAGTCAGTTCCCTAATTTCAAAAAGCCGAACCAAAGCAAAGCATGTTGACTTACATTGCTTCTTTAGTTCTTTCAGCTGTTGTTTAAACTGTACAAATTTTTCATTATTTTGAAAGTCTGCATCAGAATTCTTGTTCTGTAAGGCCAAAAATTTCTTCTCCACCAATAATTTTAAATCTGGTATTTTTTCTGGGCGTTCTTCTTTTACCTAAGGGAGACAACAAAATTACCTGAGTTAAATGCTAACAATAATAGTGTTAACAAAGTTTTGCAACATTGTTTTTATCTTAGATAATTCAAAGCAAAAGATAGTGAGGCTGAAAACAATCTCTTGAACAAAGCACCAAAGAGGTTGGGACATGTTCTAGGACAGACTGCTGGCAAATACTGAAGGGAATCATTCATGCCAACTTGCCAACTACTCATTCTATTTTTGCTTCCTTAAGCTGGTGGCCCTTCACTGATCCTACTAACTTGTTTTTGTTTTGAGATGGAGTATTGCTTTTGTTGCCCAAGCTGGAGTGCAATGGCATGATCTCAGTTCCCCGCAAACTCCACCTCTGAGTTCAAGCTATTCTCCTGCCTCAGCCTCCCGAATAGCTGGGAGTACAGGTACGCACCACCACACCCAGCTAATTTTGTATTTTTAGTAGAGATGGAGTTTCACCATGTTGACCAGGCTGGTCTTGAACTCCTGACCTCAGGTGATCCGCCTGCCTCAGCCTCCCAAAGTATTAGGATTACAAACGTGAGCCACCGCACCTGGCCTAATCCTACTAACTTGTGGTCTTCTGGTAACTACCAGGGAAAATCACAAATGTGGCAACTTCACCAGACCTGAGCATCAGCACCCAGGTCTGCTGAGTCCTCTTTCACACTCACCAGTGGTTATTTCAACCTTCATGCTCAACAATCCTTTTTTTGGCCCTCCACCCAAGCAAGTGAGAGTCACTTCTACTTTACAAAAGTGGCTGGGGCTTTAACCTTGACTTTCCCTACTGTCCTGTCATGCCGAGGAGTAAGTGCCCTCCGGTTCTGTTCAAGGTTAAATTATCAACTCATGTTCTTCTCTGCCCCCAAAATTATAAAATTATTTCTTAATATTATAAATTTTCAAATATGCAGAAAAGTTGAAGTATATTGTGAAGACTCATTCATCTACTTCCTAGATGCCACGATTAACATTTTGCTCTGTGTATGTTATCACATATCTATCCATCTATCCATGTATCTCTCTATCCATTCTCAACCCTGTTCTTAATCACATCTTCTTCATCTCCTTTACAATGAACTTTCCTCTCTACAGCCTCTTTCCCCACGAACCTTTACAGAGGCTCTTCACACCCATACTTTAAAACAAACAATCTCTTATCATCCTGGCTCCCTGCTCCCGGTTATTTTCTGTTCATATTCCACTTCCTTGGGGGGAAAAAGGAGCCACCCTTTCCACTTTCTCATCCTCCAGCTTTAGCCACTATAGTCAAGCTGCTCCCCACCACTTCGCTGCAGCTGCTCTGCATCAGGCCTTCATAATTGCTCCCTTTCATCACTGGCCCTTTCCTGATGTTCCTGCTGCCAAGCAAAACTCACCTATTGTGCCCTCATACACTTAAGACAGACCTCTACCACCACTCCAGTAATATTTGATTGCTTATTTTTATGCCTCTTTCTCCTAACAAAGTGTAAACTCCTTGAAAGATGTCTGATTTATCACAGTATTACCAGTGCCCAGCACAAAATAGGAAGTACTCAACATGTATTTCAAATAAGTTAATCTTATTAGTTCCAAATATACTTACACACTAAAAGCCACAATTTACTGGCTGCCATTATTATTAGAACACAGTACAATTTCCAGGCTGGAAGACAGAATAGAGATAATCTAATCTTAATCTCCTCCACCCAGTTTCACAAATAAATAAAATGATTTAGAAAGAAGTCAAATGACTTATCTTCTATATCCAACTAGTCAGATGTAATGCAAAGACTACAAGTTAGATACAGAAAATTCCAGATTTTGGTTAGAGTCAGTGGGATATATTTCTAATCTCTCTGAATCTGAGTTATCAATGCATATGAAGTCAAAAGATTATCTGCAAAGTATCTGCTTTAACTTTTGCCATAGAGGAAAAAAATATAATCTTCTTTTGCTTAATTGCTATGCATTTTGATTACTAAACAGAAAATGAGAATTAAGCATGAAACCAAAATGTCTAAAATTTATATTTATAGTAGAGTGTAGGAACTGACTGCCTTCTTGTATTGCTAACCCCCAAGTGCTGGATTCACCATTAAAGAGAGTTGTAGAAACATGGAGAGGCTTTAATGACAAGTGCTATATGTGATTAAGGATTTAACAGAAGTTCTGTAAGGCTAAATAATAAAACTCAATTTGGAAAAAAGAAGATAGAACGGCAATTTAATTATGTCTAATATCTCAAGAATAAGAGCTACTGGCCAGGCGCACTGGCTCATACCTGTAATCCCAGGACTTGGGAGGCCCAGGCAGGTGGATCATGAGGTCAAGAGAGTAAGACCATTCTGGCCAATAGGGTAAAACCCCATCTCTACTAAAAATACAAAAATTAGCTGGGTGTGGTGGCATGTGCCTTTAGTCCCAGCTACTCGGGAGGCTGAGGCAGGAGAATCGCTTGAAGAGGCGGAGGTTGCAGCAAGCCAAGACTGCGCCACCGCACTCCGGCCTGGCAGCAGAGCAAGGCTCTGTCTCAANAAAAAAAAAAAAAAAAAAAAAAAAAAAAAAAAAAAAAAAAAAAAAAAAAAGAGCTAGTATACATGTGACTAACTATCCTCTACCTCTACATAACAGAACAAGATGCGAGAAGTTCAAAATCATAGAATGAAGAATTGAGAGTAGACCTAGAAAATAAATTGCTGGTTCTTAGCAAGGATTATAGGCTGTCTTTCTGGATTTATGAAATAAAATGGACTCACATCGACCCAAGATATTAACGGTAACATAGGAAGGCATTCAGGTGAGCCTTGTCAAGGTGTAATCTGTCTGAAATTATTACGTAATCTGGGATGATCTAAGCAGATACGTAAAATCTGAGTGTTGTTTTCCAACAAAGTCTCTAACACAGTCAACCTACTTAACTCCCACAGTTCCACTACAACCACTGCTGAGGAGGTGAAGACTGAGTAGGGGGTGCGGGCAGTCAGGATGGAGGGGAGAGGCATTTTGAGGTCCGACAACATGACAACCTGAAATATGATAGAAAAAGCTGAATATACCACATTTTTAGTGATTCACTGTGTTTTTCCCCCAAAATCAGAACCTTTAGAAAACTGCTGTTTTTCTAAACAGCAGTTTAGAAAAGTGCACATAAATTCACTGCTGCAAATGTCTTCTCTGCAGGTTTGATGCTACAGTCTGCAGGGCCATTCACTGCAAAGAAATCTTACTGTATTCTAGCTATCAAAATGAAATTTAAAAAAAAATTCAACTCAGTATCTGTTTAAATCAGTAAAATAAATGGGCACTATTTTTTTTTAATGATTTCTTGCTTTGTTTGAATATCTAAGAGACATAGATTATTGAGAGGAAAAAAATTGAATGGCTGATTATGTAGTATGAAAAAGATGAAGACGACTCTCTTTTCCTAAGAGAATTTTTTTTTTTTTTTTTAATTAAAGAGACAGGGTCAGGCTCTGGGTCATCCAGATTGGAGTACAGTATTGCGATCATAGTTCACTGTAACCTTGAACTTCCTTGGACAAATTTCAAATACCTCAAAGAAGTTTGAGATGAAAGGAGAGGATCTATTAGATTAGGTCCATCCTTTTCCCAAGAATAGTCTCCCCAGATACAGGACTTAGAATCTCAGTGAATTAAAAGATACCAGATCTATTAATTTACTAACAAAGTATCACAGACTAGGTGGCTTAAACAACAGAAATTTCTCTTGTCACGGTTCTGGAATTAAGAAGTCCAAGATCAAGGCGTCAGCAGGGTTGGGTCCTACTGAGGTATCTCTCTTTGGTTGGTAGGTGGTATCTTTCTCTGTGTCATCACATGGCCCTCCCTCTACACAGGTCTGTGTCCAAATTTCCTCTCACAAACACATCAGTCATATTGGATGAAGGCCCACTTACTGACCTCATTTTAACTTCATGATTTCTTTAAAGACCCGATTTCCAAATTCTGAGTTCCTGGGGGTTAGGACATCAACATAAGAATTTTGGAGAAACACAGTATACTGGATTAATGTTTCTACCATTATAATTTAAAAGTGAGAGAAGCTACTGAGAAGTAAACGGCAGGTGCTATACTTACATGATAAAAATTTACTACTGCCCTTTGAAGACAAAAGGTCAGATTTTTCTGTGCCACCCACTTACTCATCCACTATTCCATGAGTGCTCTCTATGTGCTAAGCACTGTAGTTAAAATGAGAGAGGACCAGAAGAGTCAATCAGGGGCAGGGGGTGAACAGCCCTGGAAGCCAGGTTATAGAACTGAGACCTGACCCAATAGGCAGTGAGAAAGATACTACAAGATCTTTGCATTGTGGAGGAGTAAAGTGATAATGAGAATTAAAAAAAAAATGATTACTATCGTTATTGCCTGGAGGACACACAACTGACAGGGAGGGAGAGGACAGTTGCTGCCACACGTTAACTAATGGGAGAGCTGCTGACAACTGGGTCAGACCTCAATGCTGTTTTTGAAGCAGAATCACCCACTCCTGTTGTAAGAAGAAGATAAGGGAGTAATGATGCCTCCAAGATATTTAATGTGGACAACTAGTCAAATGCCATTGTCTTGAGGAAAACAGCAGAAATCACTGAATCTGTAAGACATCGAAGTGAAGGTACCTAGTATGCAGCTAGAAACATTTAGAATGAAGGCGTGGGAAGAAAAAGACGAGAGATGCAAAAGGAACTCTGCAAAACTGAAGAAGAAAACCGGCAGTGAGGAATGCAACAGAAGAAAGGAAAGAGAAAGTTTCCATTAAAGAAGTGCTTGTCCTATGGGAAAAATGATGCAAGTGAGCTTAAGAAAAGGGCTAATCCTTAAACCCGCTGGATTTAATTACAAGGCATTCTGCACACAGCGCTGGAACTACTGCTCCATGAAGCTTCTCTCAGCCAAGGGTTATGTCCCTGGTGTCTGGCATGCTGCCTGTTGCACAGTGGATGTTCAGATGACGACGGTGAATGAGTGAATTAGGAAGGCTATATTACACT